ACAGCCTCTCACAATGGGAAGTAGAAAGCCAATCTCCCAGATGTGACCTCTGCTTGGAGGACTATGGGCACTCTCCCAGGGCAGGTTGAAAAAGCTTACATGCAGACCAGGTGGACTGGAGATGTGGGCCTACAGAAGAGGTGTCCATCCCCTGGGGGAGGTCCAAATTATGAAATAAAACAGTCAAGGGGGATGGATCAGATGATAGCCTAGTCCAGTACCACATATAATACCATGCGCAGAGGATCGCTATGGTTAGTGGAAAAGAATCCTGAACAAGTGATAATGTTTAATACCCCAACTACCCCAGGGTAAGGCACATAAATCATAACGAGAGAGGTCCTGTCCCACCCATGGTCCAAGCTATAGGGAAAGGGCGCATGAGCCATTCCAGCATGTGGCAACAGGGATGAGCAGAGGGATTTCACCAGACCTAGTTTTACTGCAAAATTATTGATGAAGTCTTGAGAAAGATGGACTGAGCTTCATTGAAACGTGGACAATAAAAACACTGCTGTCGCCTCCCTCCTCTGCAAGACCCATGAGTGCCTCTAAACCAGTCTTGGATTTATATGGATTTCTTTGCATGTGAGCACCTGGGCATTTATCTCACACACAGAGTGTCATGGCTACTAGAGATGAGCGAATCGAACTTGGCGAAGTGGAATTCGTTTCGAATATTAGAAAAATTTCAATTCGCGCCGAATCCGAAAATTAGCATACTTCGGATGCGCGAATCAAAATTTTTCCTAAAATGGCGGCGACATGTGTGGCGACGGAGCGGGGATGTCTGGGAAGGCGCGCAGACAAGGCGCGCTGACCCATAATGCATTCATTCATGACATGTGATCGCATTAGCCAATCAGCAGCCAGCCAGCCAGCACAGTGTAATGGTCGAGCTATAAATGGCGGCCATTTTAGAATTCTCCATTTGCCTCCAGTCATTCAACAGAGGCAGACCTGGCTGTATGCAGGGAGAGAGTTAGGGACACAGAAACGTTACTTAGGGACACAGAAACGTTACTTAGGGACACAGAAACGTTACTTAGGGCCACAAAAACGTTACTTAGGGCCACAGAAACGTTACTTAGGGCCACAGAATCGTTACTTAGGGCCACAGAAACGTTACTTAGGGCCACAGAAACGTTACTTAGGGCCACAGAAACGTTACTTAGGGCCACAGAATCGTTACTTAGGGCCACAGAAACTTTACTTTAGGGCCACAGAAACGTTACTTAGGGCCACAGAAACGTTAATTAGGGCCACAGAAATGTTACTTAGGGCCACAGAAACGTTACTTAGGGCCACAGAAACGTTACTTAGGGACACAGAATTGTTACTCAGGGACAGACACTGAATTGTTACTCAGGGACAGACACAGAATTGTTACTCAGGGACAGACACAGAATTGTTACTGAGGGACACAGAATTGTTACTCAGGGACAGACACAGAATTGTTACTCAGGGACAGACACAGAATTGTTACTGAGGGACACAGAATTGTTACTGAGGGACACAGAATTGTTACTGAGGGACACAGAATTGTTACTCAGGGACAGACACAGAATTGTTACTGAGGGACACAAAACTGTTACTCAGGGACACAGAACTGTTACTCAGGGACAGACACAGAATTGTTACTGAGGGACACAGAACTGTTACTGAGGGACACAGAATTGTTACTCAGGGACAGACACAGAATTGTTACTCAGGGACACAGAATTGTTACTGAGGGACACAGAATTGTTACTGAGGGACACAGAATTGTTACTCAGGGACACAGAACTGTTACTCTCTGACACAGAACTGTTACTCAGGGACACAGAACTGTTACTCAGGGACAGACACAGAATTTTTACTGAGGGACACAGAATTGTTACTGAGGGACACAGAATTGTTACTCAGGGACAGACACAGAATTGTTACTGAGGGACACAGAACTGTTACTCAGGGACACAGAACTGTTACTCAGGGACACAGAACTGTTACTCAGGGACACAGAACTGTTACTCAGGGACAGACACAGAATTGTTACTGAGGGACACAGAATTGTTACTGAGGGACACAGAATTGTTACTGAGGGACACAGAATTGCTACTCAGGGACAGACACAGAATTGTTACTGAGGGACACAGAAGTGTTACTGAGGGACACAGAATTGTTACTCAGGGACACAGAATTGTTACTCAGGGACACAGAATTGTTACTCAGGGACACATAATCGTTGAATTAAAGAGTATGTCAAACAACACGCAGAGGAGTGGCAGAGGAGGCAATGTTTTCAGGAGCGAGCAGACGTGGCAGCAGAGGAAGGGGTCTGAGAGGCAGCACTAGTCGCAGCCAGAGGCCAGTGCTCCCGGTGTCATCCAGCGGTCGTGTCTCCACCGACAACCCTGCCGTCATCGATTGGTTGGCTCGGTCGTCTTCCTCTTCCCAGGTCACCTCTGACACCTACAGCCAACGGTCGGTGTGTACGTCAGACACAACCGTTAGTTGGCATGGGCCGGGAGCAAGCCCACTGAAATCACGTGTCCTCTACCTGCCCCTGTCCTTTGGTGTTCCCTCACCAAGCGAAGTATCGCATGCTGTGGGCTCAGCCCCACTGTACAGTGAGGAAGAGCTAACAGAGGGCGGTCAGGAACGGGGGGAGACATCCGCCTCTTCAGCAGCCAGGCGAAGAAGTACTGGCGAGGAGAGTGGCTCGGTAGCCGGTCTAGAGACAGGTCTGTCTCCTGACCCACACGCAGCCGAGGGGGCTAGTAGTGAGGCGGAGACCCTAATTGATGATGAGGAGGTTGATCGCACTTGGCAGCCTCGTCGTCATCAGGCAATTGCTTCCGCATCATCAGGAGAAGAGGGTGGCAGCTTGGCAGCGAGCGAAACAGTCGGTGGGTTGCCCAGGAGGCAGCAGGTTCGCAGCAGTGTCAGTGGAAGCAAACGGCCACGGAGTAGAGCACCAGCTCCACTGCAGCCTACCACCACGGCCAGTAGTGGTGCCGGTGTGCACGGAGGAAGCAGCAGTCAGCCAGTGAGGAGTAGCGGGGGCAAAGTTTCCTACTCGGCGGTGTGGCAATTTTTCGTCAAGCCGCCCGAGGAAGTAAACGTAGCCGTATGTCGACTATGTGGCCAGAAAGTCAAGCGTGGCCAGGGGGCCCATGTTGGGACTACAGCGTTGCATCAGCATATGCAGCGTCACCATTCGGTGGCCTGGGAAAACCGTGATAAAGATACGGCGGTTCTGCCTGCCCCAGCCCCCGCTCCATCACCCGCTCCGTTACTTGCTCCGTCACCCGACGTCAATCGCCCTCTATCAGCCAGTCATATCACATGTGCAGGGCGCAACGGTGTCACGCTGTGCTGCACCTGGTATGCCTTGGCGAACGTAGTCACACAGGGGAGGAACTTCTGAGTGTAATGAACAGAGAAATCGACAGATGGCTGTCTCCGCGCAAACTGAAAATCGGAACCATGTTGACCGACAACGGAAAGAACATGGTGTCTGCTCTGCGTCAAGGAAGGTTGTGCCATGCGCCCATGCATGGCTCACGTGTTCAATCTGGTTGTCAAGCGGTTCCTAAAATCCACCATCCCACTGCAAGACATCCTTAAAATGTCATGTAAACTTTGCATGCATTTCAGCCATTCCTACACCGCAAAGCACACCCTCCTTGAGCTGCAGCGGCAGAACGGAATTCCACAGCATCGCCTGATCTGCGATGTTGCAACAAGGTGGAATTCAACCCTACACATGTTAGACCCTGCCTTTACGAACAGCGAAAGGCCATCACCAATTTCCTGATGTTACAAGCGGATAAAGGTACTCCCCTGTGTAACTTAGATGTCAGCCATTGGCAGCTCATGCGTGACACCTGCCGCTTGCTCAGACCCTTTGAGGAGGCCACGCTATTCGTGAGTCGGCAGGACTATGGGATGAACGACGTCATTCCTCTGTTGCACGTCCTGGAACAAATGCTGTTAACAATGGCTGGTGCGCGGTAGACGTGGCGCACAGATCTCAACGCCACATGACCCCTGTGGGGCAGGACAGGAAGAAGAGGAGGAGGTAGAGGAGGACATTTGTGCTCAGGAATTATTGAGTGAAATGGGTGGTTTTTTTCCACTCAGCGGACAGGAGTGGAGGAGCAGGAGCATCTGGTAGAGGAGGAGGAGGAGGAGACAGAGGACCCAGACGCACCGTGGCAGTATGCTGTGGAGATGGAGGCAGGGAGTCCCTCGCATTCCTTGGCACAAATGGCCCATAGCATGCTCGGTTGCTTGCGTAGCGACGACAGCCGAATAATAACCATCAGACAGAGGGATGACTTTTGGCTGTCCACCTTGTTGGACCCCTCGCTACCGTTCCAAAATGGTGGCCTTTTTCACACCTGCTGAGAGGGAGGCCAAAATAACGTACTATAAAAACCACCTATGTAGTCAGTTGGTCTCTGCCTTCTGCGCCAACGTCCATCCTCAGACACTGTGGGCCCTGTGCGCTCCGCGTTCCGCTGCCATGGCAGCAGGGGCTCAGGTAGGGTGGTAGGAGCAGTGGCAGCTCCACCAGCAGCGGCTGTCCTCAGTCTGCAGTCGATGATGAGTAGCTTTTTCTTCACCAGCGCAGTGAGGAAACTACTAACCAGCTGCAGCAGCATCAGGTGGACCTGGAGCAGGACCTCAAACAACAGGCTTGGGCCTACTTGGACAGCACCCTGCCAACCGAGGTAGACAATCCCCTTGACTACTGGGCAACGAAACTTGACCTTTGGCCCCAACTAGCTGAATTTGCCCTTGAAAGGCTGTCATGCCCGGCCAGTAGCGCGTGGCATCGGAGCGCGTGTTTAGTGCGGCAGGAGGTATTGTAACTCCGCGGAGGACACGACTGTCCACCCAAAGTGTGGAGAGACTCACGTTTGTGAAAATGAATCAGGCGTGGATTAGTCTGGATTTCAAACCACCAGTTCCTGACACAACTGACTAAATCCGCCATGAATCATGCCCCAAACATGTGCCACTTTCAGGTCTCCTCACACTGCTGGTGGGTTCCATTTTGTCATAGGATGCTGGCAGATTACGGGCCTCCCATAGCTGCTGCCAGGCCCCTAATCTGCCATGGGCCCCCGTACCGCCTCCTCATGCTGCTGCCAGGTCCACAGTGTCTCATGGGTCCCTGTACGGCCTCCCATTGCTGCTGTCTCCATCGCCACACTCTGCCATGTGCCACTTTCAGGTCTCCTCACACTCTGCTGTGTTCCATTTTGTCATAGGATGCTGGCAGATTACGGGCCTCCCATTGCTGCTGCCAGGCCCCTAATCTGCCATGGGCCCCTGTACCCGCCCTCCTCATGCTGCTGCCAGGTCCACAGTGTCTCATGGGTCCCTGTACCGGCCTCCCATTGCTGCTGTCTCCATCGCCACACTCTGCCATGTGCCACTTTCAGGTCTCCTCACACTGCTGCTGTGTTCCATTTTGTCATAGGTTGCTGGCAGATTACGGGCGTCTCCCATTGCTGCTGCCAGGCCCCTAATCTGCCATGGGCCCCTGTACCGCCTCCTCATGCTGCTGCCAGGTCCACAGTGTCTCATGGGTCCCTGTGTACGGCCTCCCATTGCTGCTGTCTCCATCGCCACACTCTGCCATGTGCCACTTTCAGGTCTCCTCACACTGCTGCTGGGTTCCATTTTGTCATAGGATGCTGGCAGATTACGGGCCTCCCATAGCTGCTGCCAGGCCCCTAATCTGCCATGGGCCCCTGTACCCCCCCTCCTCACGCTGCTGCCAGGTCCACAGTGTCTCATGGGTCCCTGTACGGCCTCCCATTGCTGCTGTCTCCATCGCCACACTCTGCCATGTGCCATTTTCAGGTCTCCTCACACTGCTGCTGGGTTCCATTTTGTCATAGGGTGCTGGCAGATTACGGGCCTCTCCCATTGCTGCTGCCAGGCCCCTAATCTGCCATGGGCCCCTGTACCGCCTCCTCATGCTGCTGCCAGGTCCACAGTGTGTCTCCATCACACTCTGCCATGTGCCACTTTCAGGTCTCCTCACACTGCTGCTGTGTTCCATTTTGTGATAGGATGCTGGCAGATTACGGGCCTCCCATTGCTGCTGCCAGGCCCCCTAATCTGCCATGGGCCCCTGTACCGCCTCCTCATGCTGCTGCCAGGTCCACAGTCTCTCATGGGTCCCTGTACGGCCTCCCATTGCTGCTGTCTCCATCGCCACACTCTGCCATGTGCCACTTTCAGGTCTCCTCACACTCCTGCTGGGTTCCATTTTGTCATAGGATGCTGGCAGATTACGGGCCTCCCATAGCTGCTGCCAGGCCCCTAATCTGCCATGGGCCCCTGTACCGCCTCCTCATGCTGCTGCCAGTCCACAGTGTGTCATGGGTCCCTGTACCGCCTCCCATTGCTGCTGTCTCCATCGCCACACTCTGCCATGTGCCACTTTCAGGTCTCCTCACACTGCTGTGGTTCCATTTTGTCATAGGGTGCTGGCAGATTACGGGCCTCTCCCATTGCTGCGGCCAGGCCCCTAATCTGCCATGGGCCCCTGTACCGCCTCCTCACGCTGCTGCCAGGTCCACAGTGTCTCATGGGTCCCTGTACGGCCTCCCATTGCTGCTGTCTCCATCGCCACACTCTGCCATGTGCCACTTTCAGGTCTCCTCACACTGCTGCTGGGTTCCATTTTGTCATAGGATGCTGGCAGATTACGGGCCTCACATTGCTGCGGCCAGGCCCCTAATCTGCCATGGGCCCCTGTACCACCTCCTCATGCTGCTGCCAGGTCCACAGTGTCTCATGGGTCCCTGCACGGCCTTCCCATTGCTGCTGTCTCCATCGCCACACTCTGCCATGTGCCACTTTCAGGTCTCCTCACACTGCTGCTGGATTCCAATTTGTCATAGGGTGCTGGCAGATTACGGGCCTCACATTGCTGCGGCCAGGCCCCTAATCTGCCATGGGCCCCTGTACCGACTCCTCATGCTGTGACGTTGCAACAAGGTGGAATTCAACCCTACATATGTTAGACCGCCTTTACGAACAGCGAAAGGCCATCACCGATTTCCTGATGTTACAAGCGGATAAAGGTACTCCCTGTGTAACTTCGATGTCAGCCATTGGCAGCTCATGCATGACACCTGCCGCTTGCTCAGGCCCTTTGAGGAGGCCACGCTATTCGTGAGTCGGCAGGACTATGGGATGAACGACGTCATTCCTCTGTTGCACGTCCTGGAACAAATGCTGTTAACAATGGCTGGTCAGGGTGCGGTAGACGTGGCGCACAGATCTCAACGCCACATGACCCCTGTGGGGGCAGGACAGGAAGAAGAGGAGGAGTAGAGGAGGACATTGGTGCTCAGAATTATTGAGTGAAATGGGTGGTTTTTCCACTCAGCGGACAGGAGTGGAGGAGCAGGAGCATCTGGTAGAGGAGGAGGAGGAGGAGACAGAGGACCCAGACGCACCGTGGCAGTATGCTGTGGAGATGGAGGCAGGGAGTCCCTCGCATTCCTTGGCACAAATGGCCCATAGCATGCTCGTGGGTCTTGCTTGCGTAGCGACAGCCGAATAATAACCATCAGACAGAGGGATGACTTTTGGCTGTCCACCTTGTTGGACCCTCGCTACCGTTCCAAAATGGTGGCCTTTTTCACACCTGCTGAGAGGGAGGCCAAATTACGTACTATAAAAACCACCTATGTAGTCAGTTGGTCTCTGCCTTTCTGCGCCAACGTCCATCCTCAGACACTGTGGGCCCTGTGCGCTCGCGTTCCGCTGCCATGGCAGCAGGGGAGGGGTGGGGTGGTAGGAGCAGTGGCAGCTCCCACCAGCAGCGTGGGTCCCTGTACGGCCTCCCATTGCTGCTGTTTCCATCGCCACACTCTGCCATGTGCCACTTTCAGGTCTCCTCACACTGCTGGTGGGTTCCATTTTGTCATAGGGTGCTGTATGGCCTCCCATTGCTGCTGCCTCCACCGCCACACTGTGGCTCCACACTCTGGTTTTGGCCCCGTGACTGCCCAAATGAGTGAAGTGTGCGGTGATTCTAAGATCGACGGCACTCATCTGCATGTCATACTGACTGACAGTATTATTTCTCTTCCCCAGCAGACTCCAAGGGCATTTAAATTAAAGGTACAGTGTTCTGCACTAATATAAAGGCTCTCTGAAGCCTAGAAACACCCTTTTATAAGTTAAAATCGCAGTGGATATATTCAACTCGAATTGATTTTTTTTCACGAATTCGCCGAATCAGTCGAATCGAATTTTTGAATACTTCGCTCATCTCTAATGGCTACCTTTGGAACTATATATATATATATTTGTTTTTTTTTTTTAAGGACTAATAACACTGTTCAACAGGTAAAAAGTTTTGGGCATAAAATTAGCTAATCTTACATAATTTTGGGGTGCTGAAAACGAAAATGACCCTAAAAAATGTTGATTGGCTCTAGTTTCCATGATATATTCACCCATCTAATGACGTAAGCCATTCAAAATTATGATGCAACTTCAGCTGCATATTGCGCAATTGATACTGGTGACCAATAGAAAATGTCATGTATACTGAGATGATGCAATATTAGCCTTTAATTGCATCACTTCACTGCATAAAAGCTGCAGTATCTGTAGCTGATTGGAGTTTGTCTTTACATTTCGTTTTCTGCTTCTATAGGCTACTCAGTAATGCCTCGAACTTGTGTGAATAAAGCAGATAATTTCTGCTATATCTGCGGTGAAATAACTTTTATCTCACAAAAAAGGAGGATAACAGGAATGATTAAGAAAGCCTACAACTTGTATTTTGGCTGCAAGATAGGAGACCAGGACAAGAGCTGGGCACCACATATATGCTGCAATTCTTTGTGGGACGGCACTGGAGCAATGGTTGAATGGAAAAAAGGCATCTATGCCTTTCGCTGTGCCAATGATTTGGAGAGAGCCAACAGATCATGTTAGTAATTGTTACTTTTGTATGGGTAAAAGGGCTAAATAAGAAGAAAAAGTTATCTGTGCACTATCCAAATATTCCATCGGCAATACGTCCAGTTCCTCATGGAGAGGGGCTACCAATTCCTAAAGCACCAGAATCCTTCGTGGTGGAGTCAAGTGAGGAAGAACCTGAAGCGTGTAGTCACGTGCAGTTGTAAGAGATAGCCCTTTCCTCGAATACAAGAGAAAAGCCAAGAGAAGCAAAACCGACACAAACTGAAGACAAAACTAGTGAGAATCCTAAGTATTAAAATGATTCAACTTAGCTTATGGCTATAATTTTTCTTGGTAATCCTATGCAATATATTCTGCCATTTAGGCTTTGTTATGTAGTCAATATCACTTGCTTTATATTTGTGGAAAGACATCTATCTATATAATTATTGTGCATTATGTAGTCATTACGCCTATAGTAGAAAACTTTCCGTTTACAGAAAAACTAGAGCCAATTGACACATTTCATTGTTATATTTGAACTCAGAATGTGAAATTCATTAAGAAATGGACCCTTTTGTTTCCAAAACTGGCAAAAAATAAAAATTTGTTGAACAGTGTAATATAGAAATACAATTAATAATTCTAGTATTGACAAAAATCATTATTATCATCCTTGTCATTATCATCAATATTTCCAAAAAGCTCCAGTCTAGTATGTGATCTTTCAGGCTGCTTTATTCTGATTTGGTGATTATTACTTATATCTGCCTACATCCCAAAAATGTATTAAAAAGAACTCCCCGCACTTGATTTGCATGGGATTTTACTGGCAAAAACACATAATTTGTTAAAATGTTACATACATCTTTATTTGTTTTCAACATATAAAACTTCCTTACAAAGTTACATGTTTTAATGAACATTCATATCATGGCAGTATTACATCACCAACATACAATACTTTTTCTGACCCTTTTAGAATGATGTGATATATATGGCCCCAGTACTAGCTGTAGGGGCCCGGCCTGGTCAATATCCTTTGTGGTGGGAGTTAAGAGTTAAGGAATTGATTTTCTGACTGGCGTGTAGTTTGTTTCCATTTACTGACTATCACATCCCCCTCCACTACAGAGCTATCCCAGAGGAAGGAGATAACTGACTCCAAAACGCATCCATTTTATGATAGAAACTGTGTTTCATGTATTGTGCTGTATGTTGGTGATGTGATACTGTCATGATATGATATTTCATTGAAACGTAACTTTTTAAGGAACTGGACTTTTATATGTCGAAAAAAAGTAAAGATGTGACATTTCAACAAATTATGTGTTTTTGCCATTCAGTTCCAACACAAGTCGAGGGCAATTTTTTTTGTAATCTACTCTGATTTGGGGGTACAATCGACTTTAATTTAAAATTTCTGATCTTTTTAAATGTTGTTTATTTAACTGACAAACTGATAATAAAGGCTAATTTAATTTTTGTAAAATAACAAAAAAACCTGTCTATACTTACAGTACCTGCTCTGTGTAATGGTTTTGTACAGAGCAGACTGGATCCTCCTCTTCTTAGCTCTCGTGGCTCCTCCTTTCTGTTGGGTGGCCCCACAGCAAGCAGCTTGCTATGACGGCCCCCGCTGCTCCGTCTGCCCATTAACACACAGAGCCGCGGCTTGGTCCTGCCTTCCTCTCTCCTCATTGGCTGAATGGGTGCAATTGACAGCAGTGCGAGCCAATGGCTCCCACTTGCTGTCTCAGCCAATGAGGAGTCAGAGACCAAGGATAGCCAGGGCTGTCATGCAAATTGCTGGATCTCAAAGGGGCTCAGGTAAGTATTGAGGGGGCTGGGGGCACCACTGCACACAGGTTTTTTTTACCTTCATGATGGAATCCATGAAGGTAAAAGAAACTCGAGCCTTTACAACCACTTTAACCCTTTACTGACATTTAAAATGCAATCATTTTAGCTGATCGGAAGAGGTTGTTGTTGACAGTGGAAAGCCCAAGAGTAACAGATAAGGACCTGGAGGTCTTTAGTTTCTTCAGCACTGGATAACCATAAAGAAAGCATGGCGTATGGGTGGTGACCACTGAATGGGTGGTGACCACTGAATGGGTGGTGACCACTGAATGGGTGGTGATGACTGAATGGGTGGTGACCACTGAATGGGTGGTGATCACTGAATGGGTGGTGACCACTGAATGGGTGGTGATCACTGAATGGGTGGTGACCACTGAATGGGTGGTGACGACTGAATGGGTGGTGATGACTGAATGGGTGGTGACCACTGAATGGGTGGTGATCACTGAATGGGTGGTGACCACTGAATGGGTGGTGATCACTGAATGGGTGGTGACCACTGAATGGGTGGTGATCACTGAATGGGTGGTGACCACTGAATGGGTGGTGACGACTGAATGGGTGGTGACGACTGAATGGGTGGTGACCACTGAATGGGTGGTGATCACTGAATGGGTGGTGACCACTGAATGGGTGGTGATCATTGAATGGGTGGTGACCACTGAATGGGGTGATGACTGAATGGGTGGTGATGACTGAATGGGTGGTGACCACTGAATGGGTGGTGATCACTGAATGGGTGGTGACCACTGAATGGGTGGTGACGACTGAATGGGTGGTGACGACTGAATGGGTGGTGACCACTGAATGGGTGGTGATCACTGAATGTTACCACAGAGGAAGCCACTGATTTGTAATAAGGATTGTTTTCTATAAAATGTCCCGTAACCTCTAATCCCAAGTCCCCCCCTATTATTTCCTACTTACCTACACCATGCAAACACATTATTTCTATAAGCCGGGTTCATGTTTTGTAATGTTCTGTTGCCTAATGTTAGATTAAAAAAAATCTGTAGATAACTTCTATTCTTTTTTGCTAGAAACATAGTTTTCTTGTGATGGGGGGCGTGGGATACGGTCTGCACTGTGCACTGACAATAACATGACCTCTTCTGTCTTCAGTCAGAATTCCCTATAGAAGAAAATTTGTAGGGGACACTGTCCATGAAAAACCTTGTGTGTCCCCACATTGATCCGCCAAATCACCAGGAATACTATGCTGAGTGTACATAATGGTTGGTACGGTACTGCCAACCGCTAGTCCTGAAGTGGGTTAAATATAATGGAAAAGATTTCAAGATGGAGTATATGGTACAATGAGTACTTTTCACGTTGGTGTTAAATTTAGATCCATCGCGTTTATGCAAAGTCAACCGAGAGCTGAATCTAAAAGACTATTTTCATAGTTCAATCTCTAACCTCATCACTCTATCTGCTTCCACGGGGTGTGTGCCGTCATTTCTGTCTGGAGCTCACACACCAAAGCCAAAATATGTTGACTCCGAGGTTCTACTATACTTTTATCTTTACAATCATAGGAATCGGCTTGGAATACCTCCTAACACTTGTATTGTGATGGTTAACCTGGACAGCATCAGGAAGAAGGAGAAGTTGAGTCCCACCGATGTGATCTTTCTGGCTAAGGGAATGGTGAATATTCTCCTCCAGTGTGTGATGGGTCTACAAGCAATGCTCTGGGTGTTTTCTCCAGCAGTCTTATACATTAACGAAGTATACTCAATCATAAAGGCATTAATATACTTCCTAAAATATTACAGCTTCTGGTTGACCGTCTGGCTCTCGGCTCATTACTGTACCAGCATCACCAATCTCAGCTATGGGTTCTTCATCTGGTTAAAGAGAATTGTGTCCAATTTCTTGATTGAAGTTCTTCTCCTGACAGCTCTTTGGATATTTATTGTGAGCGCTCCAGCCATCTGGACTTTGAATGTAGACAATACTATCCAGTTTTCTGAGAACAGTACAGTTGAAGCCTCAATTACCAATTTCTTTCCCGGTTTCGATTTTTCCTATTTTGTG